TTCATTAAAAGATGGCATTCCCGTGGGGTGAAGCACACCTTTAATCCCAGTGCTCAGAAGGCAGAGGCAGGCAGATCTTCGTTGGAGGCCAGCCTGGTCTACAAGAGTGTGTTCCAGGATGGCCAGGGGTACACAAGAGAAACCTTGCCTCAAAAACAAAACAAAACAAAACGAAAAGGACACATTTCTAGTTGAGCATGTTGGTTCACACTTAGAATCCTAGAAGTCCAGTGACTGAAGCAGAAGGATCAAAACCAGCCTGGACTACAGTGTAAGACCCAGTCTTACATATGTCTCTGTGTGTATGTGTAGGTCAAAGGATAGCTGTGGAGCTGATTCTCTTTTTACTTTTACATGAATCTCAGGGGTTGAATTCAGGTTGCCAGGCTTACGTTCCATTGCCTTTTTCTTGCTCAGCCATCTTGACAGCTCTGAAGATGGCAGTTCCTAGTTGCTTTTCTTCCTTGGCCTGGATCTGTCATTCTCTCAATTCATCCTATATTTACTAGGCTAGTTATTGATACTAACCCTTCCACCCCCAAATACAGAGTCTCTCTGTGTAGCCCTGACTGTCCTGAAACTTACTCTGTAGATCAGGCTGGCCTCGAACTCAGAGATCCGCCTGCCTCTGCCTCTCTAGAGTCCTGGAATTAAAGATGTGCACTGCAGCCAGCAGCTGTTCTGTGGCAGACATTCCCTGCCTTCCAAGGACAGATTTCACCCAAGTCTCTTCTTGGTATTCTGGAGCAGAAGGAGCGAGTTAAGCTTTGGTTTGCTGTTGTAAATGTGTGCCTCTGGTCAGTCTCTGTCTGTACAGTCTTACAGTTTATAACAGATTTCTCTTTCAGTTACTGAATCCTGGCCTCAGAACTCCTGGGCCCAAGCAGCCTTATCTCATCCTCCTAAGTCAGTAGATGCTGCACTGCTTTGTCAGTTCCCAGTCCCTCTGGCAGGCGTGTGCGTGTTCTCAAGGCCTCTGAGCTTGGTGTCTTAGGAATGGTTAGATTATTATTTTTTTTAAAATATTTATTTATTTATTATGTATACAATATTCTGTCTGTGTATCTGCCTGCAGGCCAGAAGAGGGCACCAGATCTCATTACAGATGGTTGTGAGCCACCATGTGGTTGCTGGGAATTGAACTCAGGACCTCCAGAAGAGCAGTCAGTGCTCTTAACCTCTGAGCCATCTCTCCAGCCCCGTGGTTAGGTTATTATAATTGTCTTGAAAGATCATGGGACTAGACTCCTTGGTGTCTCCTCTGATTCAGTTGTCTCTCACTTTGGGGCTTGTTGTCTGTAAGACCATGGCAGCTTCATGTGTTCTCATAGTTGTGGCTCAACACCTCAATAGAATGAATTACAAAATTAAAACATAAAGCCATCGGGCAGTGGTGGTTTTAATCCCAGTAGTCAGAAGGCAGAGGTAGGTGGATCTCTATGAGTTCGAACCCAGCCTTCTTGGTCTACAGAGTGAGTTCCAGGACAGCCAGAGCAACACAAAGAAACCTATCTTGAAAAACCAAGAACAAACAAACATAAAGCCAGGTGTGGGATTGCATGCCTTTTGTCCTAGGACTTGGGAGGTAGAGGACCTCTTTGAGTTGAAGGCTAACCTTGTCTACAGGGAGACTTTGTCTCAAAACAAAACAAACCAGCTTACTCCAAAAACAGAACAAGTGCAGCCTGTGACCTCTCCACAGATGTGGGGTCAGGTCGTGTGACAGTGCGCACCGCCTCTTTCCTGAAGCGGCTCGGACGGTAGATTGACTGACCAACTTTCTCTCTTAACAGTTTCACTGTGTAGTCCTGGCCTGGACTCATTCTGTAGACCAAGATGGCCATAAATTTGGAATGATCTTCCTGCCTTTGCCTCCCAGGTACTCGGGGGTCATAGGCTCGTGCTACCATGCTCAGGTAGGAAGACATTCTATAATGATTTTTGTATACTTTGTAAAGGCTTATAAAGTGGAGAGGGGTCATTTATTGCCATATAAAATTGTGTTTAGTAAATATCCAATTGGTTAACTGATATGCAGCAATTTCTTTTTATAGTTATTTTCATGGTTTTGAGACATGGTCTCGTAAGGTCCCTGCCTGGCCTGGGACTTCCATTTTAGACCAGGGTGGCCTTGAACCTATGGCCACAATCGTGCCTCAGTTTCCCAAAGATGACCTACCACACCTGGGTGTAGCATTTCTTTACTTTCACCTTTTGATTCTTTTTCCACAAAATGAAATAAAAATGATTTGTATCAGCCAGGTGATGGTGGTACATACCTTTAATCCCAGCACCCAGGAGGCAGAGGTGGGCAGGTCTCTAAGTTCAAGGCCAGCATGGTCTACAGAGTGATTTGCAGGACAAAAGATTTGTACGTTAACTCACAAGGGGCCCGGATAATTCATTCTGTGTACTGATATGAATAAAATACAGTAACTGGGTTTTACGTAGCTTTTCAGTGCTCACTTAATCCTGAGACTGAAGAGAATATCTCTGAAATGAGAAGACTGCAGAGCTGTGACAGGCTCTGATGGGGTTACATAGGGTAACAAGTGAGTTTTTAAGAGGAAGTTATCTATTGCTAAAGAGGTGACTTAGAGGTTGAGAGCTCTGAGTTTTCTTTCAGAGGTCCTGAGTTCAATTCCCAGCAACCACATGGTGGCTCACAGCCAGCCGTAATGAGATCTGGTGCCCTCTTCTGATCTGCAGAGATATATGTAGGCAAATCACTATATATAATAAATCTTGAGAGAGAGAGAGAGAGAGAGAGAGAGAGAGAATGTTATCTGGGAGCTGGGGAAATGGCTCAGTAGTTAAGAGCACTGACTCTTAACTCCAAAGGACCAGGGTTTAATTCCCAGCATCCACATGGTAGCTCACAACTGTCTTTAACTTCAGGATCTGACATCCCCACATAGACATACATACAGGCAAAACACCACTGCACATAAAATAAATTTATTTTAAAAGAGGAAGAGGAAGTTATATGAGGTCGTGAGTGACTGTGGCTCCTATTTGTTGTGGCCTTGGAAGATTCAGTGAGCATCTGTTTGCTTTTCCATCTCTGAATGTCATCAGTCCCCGCTCTGTGTTGTACCTTCTGTGTCTCATTAATAGAATACTCACTAGCGCGTTTGTGTTCAGACTTGATGACCTTTTGCTCGTCTGAGATAGAGAAATCCAGCTTTTACTATAACTCCTAGGCTTCATAATCCTACAGTCTCCTAAATCCCCCATCTATGGAATAAGGATAAAAATTTGGAGACTCCACATACGAAGAGATGACAGGGTATATCTTCCAGATCCACCCCCACCTTTTTCCCCTCTAGTACTGGGGATAAAGTCTGTTGTCTAGAACATGCTAGGAAACTACTCTGCCACTGAGCTACAGCCTCAGCACAAGAAGTGGACGTGTGTGATTACCAATTACTTTACCTTTATATACGTATACTTATTACTACTGATAGCGTTTATCAGTTGTGTTAATATTCAAATAACTGCAAGATACTTTGAAACCCTGAAGTATCTGTTTCCTTTTTTAAATTAATTTTTTAAAGAACAGTGTCATGCACTGTAACTCAGGCTACCCTGGAACTTTCTGTGTTCTCCAGATTGGCCTGGGACTAGGAGCCACCGTGTCTTTTTTTTTTTTTTTTTTTTTTAAGGTAGGTAGGGTTTTACACTGTAGCCCTGGCTGGCCTGGAACTTGCTGTGTAAATGAGGCTAGCCTTGAATTCACAGAGATCTGCCTGCTTCTTTCCTCTGCTCCTGTGTGCTGGGATTAAGGATGCTCACCACCAGGCCAGTTTACATTGTCTCCACCTCAGCCTCCCAGGTGCCCTACTAGCAACTGTGACACCATACCTGGTCTAGTTTTGACGTTTTAATGTAGCTAGGAAACTGCTTTCCCATGTCTTACTAAGGGAAAGCAGCATGAGGAGGTCCCTTTACTGCTTCCACATGTATGAGTTTTCATGTATTTGTCGCAAAAGTACTTCCCATCCTTCCTAGTTCTGGGTTTGCCATCAGTGACCACTCAGTCTTGCTGCCTAATGTCTCATTAAGGAACGTCTCTATTGACCGTTTTGGGCATGGACTGCAGTAATGACAGACGCTTCTTCATCCTGCTCTCTTTTCCATACTGACTTGTGCCTTAGGTCCAGTTGGGGAAACCCAGTAAACATAGTACACTTGGAGAAGTCAGGGCAAAGGATTCCCTGAAGACTGCTACTGTCTTTTGGCTGCCCTTTTTCATTTAGGGCCCTAAGGAAGTGGTGTTGGTACCAACACATTGTTGACAGATGTCGTTGTCTTTAGTGCAGCCTGGCAATCTGAAGAAGTAAGTACATATCCCTTCCAACTCCCAGAAAAGGATGTGGTGGCTCATATCTATCATCCCAGCTCTCAGGAAGCTGAGGCAGGAGGATTGCTGTAAGTTCAAGTCTAGCCTGAGATACATACTGAGTACCAGGTTAGCCAAGGTTACATAGCAAGACTTTGTCTCACAGAAAAAAAATAAAAAGATCGGGAATGCAGTTCAGTTGGTAGAATGCTTTCTTTGCATGCAAGAAGCTTTGGGTTTGATCCCATAAACCAGGTGGGTGGGGCACCTGTAATTTCAGCATTCTGGAGGTGAAAGCCCGGGAATCAGAAGTTCAAAGTCATTGATGGCGATCAGTCTTGACTGCTGAGACCCTGTCTCAATGAGTGAGTGAGTGAGTGAGTGAGTGAATGCAAGAATAGAAAAGACCCTTAGAAGTAAATAGGACATGCCTTGCACAGTGTCTCCTCCCTGGGGAGCTGGTGGGTGGGAGTGGAGAGGGGAGCTGTGCTTACTAGTGTCCTCCAAATACCCCTTCTGGGAGCTGGAGTCTCCAGTCCGCTTCTGGAGCCAACAGGCTTGATTTGGAAGGGTCTGCTCCACAGAAAAGCCTTTTGTCAGAGTAGTTTAAAGCATTTGGTTTTTTTAGGACTCCATCAGTGTTTACTTTGTCTTACAGTGGCTTGAGTCCAGCCAATGACACTGGAGCCAAAAAGAAGAAGAAGAAACAGAAGAAGAAGAAAGAGAAAGGCAATGACACAGATTCGGCCCAGGATCAGCCTGTGAAGGTAACAGCTGTTTTCTGTGATGAGTTTTGAGGTAAACATGTAGGAACAATTTAAACTGGTCGTCTCCACTGTAAGGATGGAAGAACTTCAGTGCTGCCTGTCCTGCCCTCGGCCTTGGTGGTAAAGCTGCAGTCAGTACCTTAGAAGACCCAACTCTCAAGCGCAGTACCTTCAGAATCTCAGACACGTATTGCCTGTGTGTATCAGGTGTCGTGGGCTGATGGTGTGGCAGCCCCTGCTTCTTAGAGCGGTGGCGCTTGGTCTTCTGATCTTAAGGCCCTTGCAGCCAGGCCTGATGTCCTGAATTTGGTCCACTGGACCCACTCAGTGCAAGGAGAGAACCGACTCCTCAAAGTTATTCTCTGACCTCTGTGCGTGCACACACGCGCGCGCGCACACACATACTATGGCACATGCATATACGCACACATGCAATATATATAATTTTTTTTGTTTTGTTTTGAGACAGGGTTTTACTGTGTAGCCCTGAATGCCCTGGAACTCACTCTGTAGACCAGGCTGGCCTTGAACTCAGAGATCTGCCTGCCTCTACCTCCCAAGTGCTGGGATTAAAGGCGTGCCACGCGCCCCCTCCCCAACAACAACAGAATATTTTTTTTTTTATTTAAAAGAAAGTCATTAGCAGTGTTTGTCAACCTGTGGGTCATGACTACCTTGGGGGCCCATATCAGATATTTACATTATGATTTGTAACAGTAGCAAAATATAGTTATGAAGTACCTATGAAATAATCTATGGCTGGGGTCATCACAATATGAGGAACTGTGTTAAAGGGTCACAGTATTAGGGAGGTTGAGAACTGCTGTTACAGTATTATAATCAAAGGGCTAAACAATCAGAATTCCCATCAGTTAATCAGTCGGGCTGGGTCAGTGCACTGTGCTGCATACAGCCTGCATTTGGAGGCACAGTATGTAGTATGTCTCCCTGTGGAGAAGATCTGAGTTACTGGGATTAATGTGCTAAGGATCCAATGGGAGCTTCCCACACACTAACCGTGCTCCACTGCTGAGCCACACCCCTAACTCCCTTCAAGTGCATAGGTTTCAGGTTTGTTTTTGCAGCCCTGGTTGGCATGGAACTTGCTGTGTAGATCAGACTGGTATGAAACTTGCTATATAAATCAGACTGATCTGGAATTTACAAAGATCCTCCGGCTTCTGCCTGGGTTAGAAATGTGTGCTACCAGGCCTGACCTAAGGTATATATATTTTTTCTATCTTCTACTGGAAGCAAAGGACATAATTTTTTTAAAGAATAACTTATAGGGAGGCTGGAGAGATGGCTCAGTGGTTAAGAGCATTGCCTGCTCTTCCAAAGGTCCTGAGTTCAATTCCCAGCAACCATGTGGTGGCTCACAACCATCTATAATGAGGTCTGGTGCCCTCTTCTGGCCTGCAGACATACACACAGACAGAATATTGTATATATAATAAATAAATAAATATTTAAAAAAAAGAATAACTTGTAGGGGCTGGAGAGATGGCTCAGTGATTAAGAGCATTGCCTGCTCTTCCAAAGGTCCTGAGTTCAATTCCCGACAATCACATGGTGGCTCACAACCATCTGTAATGATGTCTGGTGCCCTCTTCTGGCCTGCAGACACACAGACAGAATATTGTATACATGATAGATAAATAAATAAATAAATATTAAAAAAATAACTTATAGAATAATATGTAATTGAATTTTTATGCTTTTTTGGTTTTTTAATGTTTTGTTTTTGTGATCCCAGGGCTTGAACCCCAGTCTTACACATGCAAGGGAGGAGCTTTACCACTAAGCTGCATCTCTAGCTCCCAGTTTTACCCTGTGGCGGGAGGGGGGGGGCTGTAGGTATGTCTGTGTATGTGGATGCCATGCTTCTTCATACCAGGCAAGGTACATGTACAGCCTGTCTATAGAAGTTCAAGGGTAACTTTTGGCAGTAGGATCTCTCCTACCATGTGGGTCCTGGGCATTGAATTCAGGTCGTCAGGCTTGGCAGGAAATGCCTTTACCCACTAAGCCATCTTATCAGCTTCCAATTTTACTTTTTGAAAGATGTCTATGGTTTTAGAACTTGCACCACACATGTGCAGTGTCTGTGGAGGCCAGAGAGAGTGTTGGAACCCCTGAAACTGGAGCCATAGACAGTTGTGAGCTACCATGTGGGTGCTGGAAATCAAACCCTGTCCTCTGGAAGAGCAGTCAGTACTCTTCTCTCCAGCCCCTTCTTTTTGATTTATTTTTTATTTTTATTTTGTTTTTGGTTTTTTGAGACAGAATTTCTCTGTATAGCAGCTCTTGATGTCCTGGAACTCACTTTGTGGACCAGGCTGGCTCAGACTCACAGAGATCCTCCTGCCTCTGCCTCCCAAGTGCTGGGATTAAAGGCGTGAGCCACCATACCCTTCTTTGCCACCTTATTTTTGAGATGGGTTTCTCATTGAATCCGGAGCTTCATGATTTGGCTAGATTGGTTGGGTAACAGGCCCTCCGGGATCCTCCTAGCCTCACCTCCCCAGCAGTGGGATTATGCATATACCACCATTGTCAACTTTTTTATCTTGGTGCTGGAGACCAAACTCAGCTCCTCATGCTGGAATGGCAAGCTCTTTACTAACTGCGCTGTCTCTGTAGTCCTGAACTCTCGGTGTTTTGATGCAGGGTTTCATGTAGCCAAAATGGGCCTCAAACTTCTAATCCTCCTGCCTCTGCCTCCTGAGAGCTAGTATTACAGATGTATATTTCTGTATCAAACTAACTTTTTGTTTGCTTGAGACAGGGTCTCACTATTGAGCACTGATTGGCCAGGAATTCTCTGTGCAAAGTAAGCTAGCTCATGGAGATCTGCCTGTCTCTGCCTACAGTGCTGGAATTAAAGGTGTGCTTTACCACAGCTGGCCTAGCTAACTCTTGAACTCATAATGATTCATAAGTTTTGCTAATACAATGGGTCTTTTCTTTTTCCAACTGTCCTGCCCAGATGAACTCTTTGCCAGCAGAGAGAATCCAGGAAATACAAAAGGCCATTGAGCTGTTCTCAGTGGGTCAGGGACCTGCCAAAACCATGGAGGAGGCCAGCAAACGAAGCTACCAGTTCTGGGATACACAGCCAGTCCCCAAATTGGGTATGTATTTCCTTCTGCAGGTGGAGCGAGGAATGTGCCTTAGCTGTGTTTCTGTGGGAGTTTCATAAGGGAAGGCGATAAGGCCCTGTAGATCTTTGGTGTTTATTTCTGGAGGGTCGTCTTTTAAAGGAGCACATAAAAGGCTGTTGTTCAGAGACCTTAGCATTTCGCAGCAGCACACAGAGAACAGACGATGGTTCTTTTTAGGTCATCAGCATCTTAAATCTGTAGAGAGCAGGGTCTTAATGCATCATGCGTGGGGCTGATGTCCATGGGTCTGTCTTCCCGCTTAGGTTAGTGAGGGACTGTTGTTTGTGTGGACAGATGTGAACTCTGTAGTGGGAAGAGTTCCCAGATTCCTGCTTTCTCTCAGCTAATACATGCTTACTAAATTCAAGTAACAGTCATGGCTCAACTCCAAGAGTACTATATTTTTTGTCAGGTACTCTTAAAAAGTCACAATGAGCCAGGCGGTGGTGGTGCATGCCTTTAATCCCAGCACTTGGGAGGCAGAGCCAGGTGGATCTCTGAGTTTGAGGCCAGCCTGGTCTACAGACTGAGTTCAAAGATAGCCTTCAGAGTTACACAGAGAAACACTGTCTTGAAAAACAAACAGACAAAAAAAGTCCACAATGAAGTCAAAAGTGGTGGCATACTCCTTTATTTCCAGTACCTGGAGGCAGAAACAAGTGGGTCTCTGTGTTTTAAGCAGCTTGATCTACAAGGGAAATTTCAGTCCAGCTGGAGCTACGTAGTGAGGCCTTGTCTGAAAATAAAACTAAAGTTAAAAATGCTGTAATAGGACTGGAAGTCCTGAGTTCAAGTCTCAGCAACTACATGGTGGCTCACAGCCATCTATAATGAGATCTGGTGCCTCCTTCTGGCCTTCAGGCATATATGGAGGTAGAACACTGTATACATGGTAAATAAATTTTTAAAAAATGTTGTAATAAACTTGTAAAGGGATTAGATAGAAATCCCAAATGTATTCCAGAAGCTACTGCACATACTTGAGTTAGAGACAACTGTTAGTCCTGAACCACAGCTGACCTTGGCCGCTGACCTCAGCTCTTTGTGAACAAAGGTTTTATAAGTGATTGAGCTTTGCTTTTGGGACCGTTGGGGACCCAGTTCTTATATTATATATATGTGTAGCTGAGGAAATAAATTGTGTTTTCTTGTTATATTTTTTAAAATATTTATAATTTTTTTGAAATATCTGTATGTGTGTCTATGTGTGCCTGTAATACAGACATAACAGGCAGTTGTGAGTCACCCAATACACATACTGGGGACTGAATTTGGGTCCTCTGCAGCATCTCTCCACTCCAAACACATGCTCTAACATTAAATGCAAGAGATGGTAAAGTGTTCAGTGCTACTAGCCCTCTCCAGTAACATTAGCTTCTAGTACATTGTGGGTTGGGAGGGCAGAGACAAGTCAAATACCAGGATGTGAAAAGACAGCTGTGTCCAACAGCATTTGTCTGTAGAGGTAGACAGCAGATAGAACAGGTGTTTCCTGACTGCAAGTGGTTGGTGTAATGATGGGTAACCAGTTATACAGTAAAAATAGCCAGGCGTGGTGGCACATCCTTTAATCCCAGCACCCTGGAGGCAGAGGTATCTCTGTGAGCTTGAGAACAATGTGGTCTATATAGAAAGTTCCAGAACAGCCAGGGCCATGTCGAGAGATCCTGTCTCCAAAACAGAACAAAACGAAACAAGCTCTACTTTGGAGAAGATGTAGTTGTCAGCTTAGCAACAACACCGATACGATTGTGAGATAAAGCAGGGGGAAGGGAATAGTGAGGGAATGCATGTGCCCGGATTCCAGAAACCTTTGTCTGTCTGCTCCCCATAGCTGCAGTGAGCCTGGTAAGGAGCTAGAAGCATGGGAAGAGTCTCTCGCTCTGCCTTGGTTGAGGTCCCCATAGGCTGCTCTGTGTTCTGGCCCAGGTTTTAGGTAGTCTCTTTTGTGAAGGCTCATGAGGAATTTGCAAGAAAATAACCTTGCTCCAGCCTAGAGAATAGGAGCCGGTGAAGAGATGAGTCGAGAATTGGTCCTGTCTGACCCGTGGCCAGTCAGAAATTAAGGATTCTGTTTCATTGGGTCAGGGGATAAGAGGTGCCACCTTCATCCTCTAAGCTTAAACTAGTCTTCACGGCAGAGACCTCATGTTTCCCTTCTGCAAACCTGGAGAATGGCTCTGTGTGGTTACTTTCTTTTCTCCCACTTAAACAGGGAGGTTTGGTTTGGTTTATCTTTAAAGTGGCTTTTTGTTTTCTTTTCTTTTCTTTTTTTTTTTTTATAAATGTTATTGTGTGTACAGTGTTCTGTCTACATGTACACCTGCAGGTCAGAAGAGGGCATCAGATCTCATTACTGATAGTTGTGAGCCACCATGTGGTTGCTGGGAATTGAACTCAGGACCTCTGGAAGAGTAGTCAGTGCTCTTAACCTCTGAGCCATCTCTCCAGCCCGGCTTTTTGTTTTTAAGACAGGGTCCTTGAACTTGTGGCCAGCCCTACTGCCTCAGCTGTCTAAACTGTGGGATTACAGGCATGAACTACCATTCTCGTGGTTCATGGGAGACTATTGACTGTAAAGGTCATGCAGTATGTTGTGTTGAGTTGGAGCTCTTTGTGGCATAGACCTGCTGTCCCTGCCACTTGGGAGGTAGAGGCAGAAGCAGCTCAGAGTCAAGGCCAGCCTTAGCCACAGATAGAATGAGTTAAAGGCCAGTCTGGATAATGTAGCAAGACCTTGTCTCAAAAAATAAAAAAGCATGCTGTGTTTATAACACATTTCACCTTTAGGGAGTTTTTTTTAATTAAACTCTGTTCTGCTGAAGAGGGCTAGAATTGTTCATAGTTTAGAATCCCTGAAAGTTCGCTTGTGAAGTCCTCCAGACGGTTTTCAGTCTGGACCAGCGCATCTTAAATTTTCTCCACTTTTCTTTTCTTTCTTCCTTATTTATTTGTTGTTTGGTTTGGTTTGGGTTTTGTGTGTGTGTGTGTGTGTGTGTGTGTGTGTGTGTGTGTGTGTGTGACAGGGTTTCTCTTGTGTAGTCCTGGCTGTCTTGGAACTCACTTTGTAGACCAGGCTTTGAACTCACAGAGGTCTGCCTGCTTCTGCCTCCCGAGTCCTGGGATTAAAGGTGTGTGCCGCCATTGCCCATTAGTGGTTCCTTTTAACCTGAAAACTTGTGGTGTATAGGGACAGCTCGGTGTATAGGGACAACTCGGTGTATTAGGGACAACTCGGTGTATTAGGGACGGCTCAGTGGGGAAGGGCACTTGTTGCCAAACCTCATAACCTGAGTTTGATCCGTAGAACTTGATGGAAAGAGAAAAATGACTTCTTGTAACCTGTCTTCTGACTTGCACGTGCATACTGTGGCATGGAAGATAAAACCAAATTTCCAGGCTGGGCATGGTAATGTATAACTGTAATCTCAACACTTGAGAAGTGGAGTTAGAAGGATCAAGAGTTGGAGGCCATGGACTGGAGAGATGGCTCAGAGGTTATAGATGACGAGTTCATTACCACTATCCCCATGAGACAAATCTTAACTGCCTGAGGATCCAGTGCCCTCTTATGACCTCTTAGGATCTATACAATGTGTCACTCTTGGAAAATACATATCTTTAATAAAAATACCCTCATCCGAGAAGTTTCTCCTGGAGTAGAAGGTAATTTGCAGCGTTGAGACCTGATCAGTGTGCCGAAAGTAAAGGACTGCTGAGTGCTCGGCCCTAAGTGGGGTATTCACATCGCACCGCTCCTCCTAAGGTTCGGGGATCTTCAGGGAAGCAGAGAGAACAGTTGTAAGAGGTGGTAGTAGCGTCAGGGAAAGTGTTCTGCAGACCCTACAGGGCATGTGTGAACTCACGGCGATTGTGACAGCCCGTGCAAGGCTTACACTAGCTCTTCCAGACAAAACCTCAGCTTTGTGTGGGAACTGTTGGCATTTGATAGCTGCTGGGAGAGGGAGAGTCAGCTTTCTTTAATGATCTGACCCCTGGCGGGTTAACTACACACCAGGACAGCCCATTCTCATCACTAGCTGTGCAACCAAAACTGGACTCAGTGGAGAAAGAAAAATAAAATCTCAAGCTGGATGGAAATTGTTAAGAAAGTGGTAATGGGAGAAGTTTGGCTGTGAATGTGTTCAGATACATTGTAAGAAATTTTCTAATGAGAATGTTGTGGAAAATTAAAACAAATCAAGAGTTCAAAGCTAGCCTCCAATATGCAGTGAGTTTGAAGTCAGACTGAACTACATGAGATCACATCTCAAAAAAGCATTTCCATAGGGTATGCTTTTTTTATTGCTGTTTTTTGAGACAGGGTTTTCTGGCTGTCCTGGAACTCACTCTGTAGACCAGGTTAGCCTGAAACTCACAAGTCCTCTACTTCTAAGTCCTGGGATTAAAGATGTGTACCACCACTGCCCGGCCAGATGTGCTTGTTATTTTCATGTAAAGAACTGAATCTCACTGGGCATGGACTTCTGACTTTGCTGTAAAACAGGATGTTTTATTTATTTACTTTTTATTTATGTGGGGACTGGAGAGATAGCTCATGGTTGAGAACACTTGCTCGTGCAAAGGATACAGGTTCAGTTTCCAGAACCTATGTTATGCAAACCATCCATAAGTTCGGTTTCAGAGGATCTTACCCCTTCTTCTGACTTACATGGGCACTAGGCACACATATGGTGCATAAACATACAAGCAGGCAAAACACTCATACACATAGAAAAATAAATAAGCTTAAAATTGTATGTGCCTACACCTGTGTGTTTGTGTTAGTTGTGTGTTGGCCCTCAGAGGCTAGATAAGGGTGCCGTGTACCACATCCCCTGGAACTGGCCTTACAGGTCCATTATGAGCCACCTGACATGGTGTGAGGAACTGAGCTAGAGTCTTCTGGAAGAATAGTGGTGCTCTTAATCACACCGTCTTCCAGCTGCCCTACAGTAGTCTTGATCTGAGCCAGCGTTTCTATGCCAGTTTATTGGTATTTCATGGCATGTTGGCATGCACGGTGCAACATGCCCATGTGTATTCAGAGCCAAGGCAACAATGAAGCCACATAATACTGCCTAGAATATCGCAGACTTGGTACATGTTTAATTTTCAATTTATTTTTGGTATGTTCAAAACCTTATACAATTACCAAAATTTTCTTGACACCCCATACTCATTATGGCTTGCAGTTTCAGAAGCTTTGGTCTGGAGCAGTTGTTACACGCCCTAAATGAATGGGTCCCTCTTCAGATCATGTCATTCTTTCCTTGTTGAGGGTGCAGGAGCCTTTCTTCCTCTCAGCTCTACCTGTCCCTCTGCGACTCATAGCTGGCCTCCACCTCATGCTGCCCTTGGCTCTGCACCTCTGCCATGGGGGGCTTGACACCTCCAGTGCAGGAAGTAAGTGACTGAGGACAACTGAAAGATGCTAAGAAGTACTCAGAGCGCTGGGTATCTGGTGCATACCTGTAATCCAGCATTAGGAGGCTGAGACAGGAAGATTGCTGTGAGCTACTTAGCATTCATCTCTCTAAAAAAAAAACAAAACTTTAGCTCTTTGTCAGCCTCTTTCCTCTCCAGCCTCATCTAGTTTCATTTCTTCCCTTCTTCATTTCTTCCCTTCTTCTCAGCCTCCCAAGCTCTCCCACAGAGGAGGGGCCCTTTCAGAGGGAGGCTTCCCGGCAGCACAGCGTCTGCAGACCTGTGATTCAACCCAGAGGCATTTGTAGGACTCAAAGCACTGAGCCCTGAGTTGGCACTGGCGGTTAGCTGGCCCACAGGGCTGGAAGCTGAGGCTGTAAGGCCTAGAGAGAGCCTGGCTCCTAGAAGCCATCATCTGACTGAGGAGTGAGCCCAGGTCTTTGCTCTTTACACAAAGGCAGGCTTGTTGCAGCTCCTTACAAATCTGCTCAGGTCAGGGAAGGGTGTCTGAGCTAAAACATGATGACACTCTGCACCAACCAGGAGGCAGGAAGCCAGATCAGCAGTGATGAACATTTGTCATTCAGGAGCCCAAGGGAGATTTATAAGGATTTCCAAAAATGAACCGCCCTGGATCCCAGAGAGGCTTCTGAGGCTTTGCCATGCATTGGCCCTCAGCTACAGACCAAGGTGGCTGGAGAAAGAGTCTACAGTTGCCAAGCATGGAGTGTTCTTCAGCTACATGGTTCTAGGGACAGGGGAAATTAGCTCTGGTGATTTTTTTCTTCATATAAGGTCTCATGTGGCCCAGACTGGCCTTAAACTCACTGTGTAGTAGAAGATGACCTTGAAGTTCTGACCCTTGGGCCTCTACCAAGTGCTGTTGTAGGTGTGCACCATTATGCCCAGGATATGTAGTACTGTGTTCACACCCAGGCCTTTGTACAAGCAAGGTGACCACTCTAGCAGGTGAGCCTCATCCCCAGCCTTCCAGTGAGTGTTTTATACGTGCTCTCCCTCCCCCGTGCTGGCCGACAGTTGACTCCTGGCTGTGCTCTTCTAGGTGAAGTGGTAAATACCCATGGGCCAGTGGAACCCGACAAGGACAACATTCGCCAAGAACCCTACACTCTACCCCAGGGCTTCACCTGGGATGCCTTGGACCTGGGAGACCGTGGTGTGGTAAGTAGGCCTGGCTTGCAGGCAGGACTCTTAGGAGCCGAGCCACAGAGGGCTCAGCAAACCCCATCTGGTACTTTCTGGGCATGCCCCAGATTCCCCACGATAGATATTAGCATCTCATACTTGTAAGACTGAAAGGTGTCCTCTGAAGTTTTTGATTGTAGAGTCTTTATTATTATTATTATTATTTAGAGTCATTATTATTATAATCATTTATATTCCTTTGTCGTTATTTTTGCTTTCTTTTGTTTGTTTGTTTGTTTGTTTTGAGACAGGATCTCTCTGTTATGTAGCCATGTCTGGCTTGGAACTCACTATGTAGACCAGGCTGGCCTTTAATTCATAAAGATAACCTGCCTCTTTGCCTCCCAAGTGCTGGAATTAAAGGCATTCAGCACCACCATCCTGCTGAGACTTGGTTTTATTCATTTTTATTTGTGTGTGATGTATGTGTGTGGGCATACACATGCTTTGGCACACATGTGCTGGTCAGAAGACAACTTTGTGGATTCAGTTCTCTCCCACCTTTGTGACAAACTGAGGCCAACATTAATGTCAGCTTTACCCACTGAGCCATCTTGCTGGCCCCCTTTTTTAGTATTTTTGAGGCAGGATCTCACACTGTAGTCTAGGCTGACCTTGGACTGTTGGTTCTCCTGCTGAGCCTCCTAAGTGATGCCATTAGAGATGTAATAGGCCATGTCTAGTCTTTTATTTCTTGTCTATTTCTTTTATTTGTTTCTGTTTCAAGACAGGGTTTCTCTGTGTAGCTCTGGCTGTCCTAGAACTTGCTCTGTAGACCAGGCTGGCCTCTAATTTAGAGATCTGCCTCCCTAGTGTCTAGGATTAAAGATGTGTGACACCACCACCCAACTTAAAGAATTATTTTTAATATGAGTTTGCATGTGGGTTTGTGAGTCTTAGGGTTGTCTTAGGGTTGAGTTAGTGTCTTAGAGTTGTCACTATGATAAAACACTGAGCAAAACGACTTGGGGAGGAAAGGGTTTGTTTCAGTTCACAACTCCATAACTGACAGAAGCAGGCTACTCTTACAGAGTCATTCTCTCAATTCATATTCCCTCTTTGCAGATATGTGTAGATTGTGTGAAGTTGACAAAAACTAGCCAGCACAGTGCTCATGAGTTTGGGGGACCCACAGAGGTCAGAGGCATTGCATCCCGTGAAGCAACAGTTGCAGATGGTTGTGAACCGCCTGATCTGGGTGTTGAGAAGTGAACCTGGGTCCTCTGGAAGAGCAGCAAATGCTCTTAACCACTGAGACATCTCTCCAGCTCCTTATTTTGACTCCTGATATATGTATGGGGTGGAGGCAGGTGCATGTCCGTGAGTGTGCATAAGCAACTGTGCATCCATATGTTTGATTCTTGTTTTTGAGACAGGGTCTAATTCTGTGGCCCTAGCCGGCCTGGAACTTGCTTTATAGACCAAGGTGGCCTTGAACTCATGGAGTTCCAACTCCCTTCTGAGTGCTGGGATCACAGTCATGCTCCACCACGCCCAGCATCTGTTTTGGGTTTGTTCTTTTTAGGTAGATATCTGCTGGTATTGCAGGTATGTGTCACCTGCGCCTGATGGTGATGCTGGGAACTGAGCCTGAGCTCTGTGCACACTGGACTAGTAGACAACTAACCTACGAGCTGCCCTCTTTTTTACCCTTGAGACAGCCTTATTATGTAGCCCTGGCTAGCCCTGAATTTGAGTCAGCCCTGCTTCAGGCCCAAGTGCTGGAATTGCAAGGCTGCACTGTCACACCTGTTACCTCTTGTTTTGACATCAGGGTCTGAGGAATTTGGACTTTCTTTCTCTGTAAGGAATGATGAAAATGTGAATAATCCCCCCCCCCCAACTTCTAATCACCTCCACCATGCCTGGTTTAGGAACAGATCTGTTTTGGGAGGGGGGTGGAGGGACAGGAGATAGAGAGGGACAGTGCTCGTGTGCCACAGCGTACCTGTGGAGGTCAGAGGACAGCTCTGTACACTAAGCTGGCAGAGACGACTGCAAGGGCAGAAAAAGGACAGAAATCTGGACTAGATGATAAAATAAAGCTTTTTTTTATATGGCAGTGAACATATTTTTAATATGGCAGTGAAGTAGTTTCTTGACCAATTAGCGTTTTATTAAGCCAGTATGAGTGACAAATTTGCAGTGTACAAGAACGTTTCGCACAGCATTAACCCCCAAAATCATTTCTCCAAAGCATGTTCACAGAAAACGGGAAGCTTTCTCTGATAGATGATGATATTCTAGATGCTTCTGTGTTTTGAAGTCTGTGGCTCTGCCCCCTAGTGGCTCTGTTTCTTATCACAACCATGGGTACTTGTTCTAAAAGAATCCTTGCCATGCCTGAGATGACACAGATTTGTGAGACTTGAGGTGGTTTTCATGGTTAGCCTTGTCCTTCTGTGACGCTCAGAGCCACCAGGCATTGGAGTTGGCGTTCACTTGTCAGAACACCTCAGTGAGCTACTTGTTTCTCTGCAGCTGAAAGAACTCTACACCCTCCTGAATGAGAACTACGTGGAAGATGACGATAACATGTTCCGATTCGATTATTCCCCAGAGTTTCTCCTGTGGTAAGTTGTAAAGGGTGTCTTTATTAGAATTTTATTTAACTTGTAAACAATAGAAATTTATTTCTCATGGTTCTGGAGGCTAGCTCAAAAAATGATCTGTGTCTGGTAATAGCCTAGCCAGCTCCGAGATCTCTTCCAGTTTTAAGGACAAAGCAGATAGCAGAACCACAAAGGAACATGGAGTTCTCATCCTTCCCACGAGCCAGCCTTTGAGGGGCCAGCTGCTGTGTGCTTGAGTTCGTGCATCTGGAGACTTGCTTTAAGTGGTGCTTAGGACTGAAGCCTTCCTTAAAATAGATTGGCTGTGGGAAATGTGCGGAGTTGGTACCCAGATCCTCTACCATATGGCGGCCTTTTGAAGGAAAGGACAGATGAGACCTACTAAGATTTGAAAGAAAGTTCTTCACTATCCAGTTAATGAGCATGTTCATTATAGAATATAGCCTTTCCTGGAGGAGCCGTCTACTAGCCTGAGCTACGTTTAGCTTCTAAGAAGGTAGAAGCATGAGGCCAAAGTAGAGCGGGATTACCCCAGTGCGTAGGGAAGCAGTGAGAGCAGAGACGCTGAGACACAGATGGCAAAGCCCAGGGTTCCCAGGTTAGTCCCTAACCAAAAGACCACTAGCCTCCGAATGGAGATCTCCAGCTCAGGCTGAGGGGAGCATAAGGCTAGGCATGGTGGCACATACCTTTAAAACCGGTACTTAGGAGGTGGAGACAGACAAATCTCTGTGCGTTCAAGGCCAGCCTGTTCTGCATAGAGGGATCTAGGGCAGCTGTTTCAGAAAATAAGAACACAGAACCTAGCATAGGGGTGTACTTATGGCAGAGCCAAGATGGTCACAAGTTTAAGGTCAGCCTCTAGGGTACATAGAGAACCTGTTAGAGAAAAATAACAACTAAAGGCTGGACTTTGTAGCTTAGTGCCAGAGAACTTGCTAGAATATATGTGCAAGACTGGGCACAATCTCCAGCATGACCAAGAAAAAGATGCTTCGAGAAATGCCTATGGTTTGATTCTCTTGGAGTCTAGGAAGCCTTGGTACTAAAGAGGAGGTAGTTAGTTGTTGAGTTCAGGGAAGTGGTAGGACCGGGTCATGGCTCTGGAGACTAAGCGCCTCTCCAGCCTGTTGTTAGCCATAGCACAGTGCCTGTCCTTGTCTTTCTTCCAGGGCTCTCCGGCCACCTGGCTGGCTCCCACAGTGGCACTGTGGGGTTCGAGTGGTCTCAAGTCGGAAACTGGTTGGGTTCATTAGTGCCATCCCAGCAAACATCCACATCTATGACACGTAAGCATCAGCACTTGTCACCGCCTTCTTGCTGGTCTGGGAGGGAGAAGAAAGCTACATGTTTAACTATGAAAGAAAGGTGGAGGGCCCGGGGAAGCATCCATATGCTGGGAATAAAACTCACTGTGGGAACTGTGTGTTTGACATGCATGGTGGCCCTTAAATCCCAACCTTGGGTGACAGGCAGGTGGATCTCCGTGAGTTTAAGGCTAGCCTGATCTACATAGCAAGTTTCAGGCCAGCTAAGGCTACATTGTGAGCCTTTCTGAGTTGTAGCTAGTAGCAGTTAAGTATTTTTCCTGACTGAAGCAAAACTCCCAAGGGAGGGAGTTTTGAAATGGAATTTTCTACCCAACATTTCAAGATGGATGTCAGGGGGCGGGGGTGAAGCCCTCAGTCAAACAGGAGCCTTGTCTGTGACCTGTGCTGAGGCCATCCCTGCCCCAGTCACATGGTGACACACTTGAGCAGCTTCAGAAATGGGCAGGAGCCAGTGTGACCCAGATTGAGATGGGCTCACTGTCATTTGCTGCAGTCTCCTGGGTTTGCAGGCTGTATGGTGATTCTTGTGGGAATCAAAATCTTAGAGTATCTGTCAGTAGTGGTACAAACCTATAGTCTAACCTACGCCTTGGGAGGGAGGGGAAGGAGGGGCGATGGTTTGAGGCTGGCCTGAGTTACTTAGTGAGTTCAAGATCAGCCTTGTCTCAGACCTAGATTAGCCTTGATTTCCTCTGGGGTTTCTTAATGCTAGTTGGGTGTCTGCTACAGGTGGGACTCTCAGCCCACTCACAGGGATTCCACGGGAGATGCTCGTGCTGCCTTCAGATAAAGGCATCGCAGGCCTCCTCTTCCCCTCTGAAGCAGAGGACGTGAGGCAAGCTGGAAAGTGGTAGTGGGTGGGATCCCCAGTCACTGCTGGTGCAGATGACAGCAAAGTGCACCCCTGCAGGTGTGGCTCTGCTAACGGGCTCCCACCATGTCGTGAGGAGCACCTTGGCAGCCAGCATTTTGCCTCCTTCAGAGAGAAGAAGATGGTGGAAATTAACTTCCTGTGCGTCCACAAGAAGCTGCGCTCCAAGAGGGTGGCTCCAGTCTTGATCCGCGAGATAACCCGGAGGGTCCACTTGGAGGGCATTTTCCAAGCTGTTTACACTGCGGGAGTGGTACTACCAAAGCCTGTTGGCACCTGCAGGTAAAAATTGCTTCCTGTGGGTCTTGGGAACGCAGGTGCCTGGCTCTAGCAGAGAATATGTCACTGAGACACAGCATTGCCCTGCTCTGTGCCTGGTCAGGGGGGTGTGGGTGGCTGGGTGACTAGCAGGAGCCAGGTGGAGAACATTTTGGGAATGTGGGGGAGAGTGTGGTTCAGACCAACTGGAAAGAAATTCTCAAACCGGATTGCCACCAGTTAGAGATGAGGGTTTTGTTTTTAAGGATGAGGCCAAACCTGGGTTTTCACAGAAAATGCCTTTAAGTTTTAAGTATTTGACTTGGCTTCATTTATAAATACTTTGTGGATCAGAGGGAGCTTGTCTGATCCCTGTGTGATCTAAGGACAACCTCCACCTTGGAAAATTGCTTGAAATAATAGAATAATCTCAGCCTAGAGAACCGCAAAATTAATAACCCCAGGTAACTAGAGAGGAGGCTGAAGAGAGGATGGACACATCTACCCGTCTTCTCTGACCTGGTTCCAGGAGCCGCTTGTGCTCCCCAGACAGCTGCTCTACAGAAGAATGGCTTTTGAAATGGAAAACTAGGGAGGAAAAGTTCTTGGAGGGCCCTTGGCAGCCCTGACCACTGGAGGAAGCTGAGCCTACGCCTCCAAAAAGGAGGTCATGACACCTGCCCGCCATCTGGAGGTCCCCTACCCTTGTCCTCCTAATTAGCGGGGCCAGCCAGCGTCCTCTGAGGTCAGACAGGACTGTCCTCCTAAGTAGCGGGACCAGCCAGCGTCCTCTGAGGTCAGACAGGACATTTATGTCCCTACAGGTACTGGCATCGGTCCCTAAACCCTCGGAAACTGATTGAAGTGAAGTTCTCCCACCTGAGCAGAAATATGACAATGCAGCGCACCATGAAGCTGTACCGACTGCCGGAGGCCAGTGGTGCTTGGGTGGCGGGCAGGCGGGATGGGGGGCAGGTGTGGGGATGTGGGGAGCCCCTAGTCACCAGGTTCTTGTGTCTGTCTACAAGGGTTATTTTTATTTCATTTTCTTGGTTTTCCCAAATCTCTGCCTGGCTTAGCATCCCTGCTGACTGGGATTAAAGGCATATGCCACCACCACCCCAGCAAGAACCCAGATTTCTGCTCCCTCCCCGACACCCAGGCTCTGAGGAATTGCACAGCCTGGAGTAACCAGGTCTTCGGTTCTAGATCTTAGTCTGCCTACTTTCCCAAAGAAATGGGTGTCTTGTTCTCTAGTCGTGCCTGCTTTCAGGACTGAGCTGTGACCTGGCCTCAGAGCACATGCAGGTGCCTGTCAATCCATACAGAGTGCTTGCTGCTCAAACGTCTGCTAGGTTGAATGTTGATCTGTACATGGGCTTTCTCACCTTGGCTGAGGTCTCACACTGGGTTAGGGTCGTTGTCCTGTCTTAAGAGAGTGCTACATCATAGTACATATTGCCAAAACAGATTTGGAAAGCTGGGTGTGGTGTCTTGTGCCTGTGATCCCAGTAGTCAGGATGAGGAAAATGAGGAGTTCAAGGCCAGTCTTGGTATAGCAAGCTTAAGGCCAGCCTGGGCTACATGAGACCCTGTCTCAAAAGAAAGAAAGAGAGAGAGAGAGGAAAGGAAGGAAGGGAGAAAGGAAAGAAAGGAGAGATTGGGGAAAAAAAGTTAGGGCTGTGGGAGATGTCTTCTCCCGCGTCATGCTGTCACCTCTCCCTCATCCTAGGCAGGTAGAGAGGCATATTCAGGTGTTCTGGGATCCAAAAGAGTGTGTGGATCTCCCGATATTTGTGTAAGAAACCCAGTGTGGGTATATTTTCAGGGTTTGAGAGGTCACTATGGGGACAGCCGTGATGAATGAGGTCAGCAAGCATTTTCTAGAGAGATCAAGATTATCAAGGAAATTTGAAGGGTAGAGGTTCAGACTGAAGTTTTGTGCACATTTATTTGTGTGTCTAAACGATCTCCAGCGTCGTTCTCTGCCTTCTGCTTTGTTTTACGGTAGGGTCTCTATGTTTGCCTGTGTACCCCAGCTTACTGACTCAAGTTACTCTGCATTCCTACTGTCTCTGCCTCTCTTCTCCCTGGAGGAGCATTAGGAGGACAGGTGCTCACACTATTGCACCTGGCTTTTACATGGGTTGTGGGATTTGAACTCGGGTCCTCACTGAACTCGGGTCCTCACACTTTCACAGTAAGCACTTTTACCCACTGCACCATCTCCCTAGCTCCACACTGAAGTTGTAAAAGTGGTCCCTGTCCTGGTTGTGTCATATGGTACATATCATTTGTGACTCTGCTCTTTCCAGTTTGGACCAGCACTCTTGTGTGGCCCTGAGCCACTGGGGATAGTCTGTTAGCCCTAGGACTTGTTCTGCAGGATCATGTGATTTCCTTCCTCTGAATTCGATTGGCCCTAGGGTAGCAGGTCACATGCTTTGTAGAGAGAGACACAAGGAAGGGAAGGAGACATATTTTCTTAGGGTAGACTAGACCCACATAGATAGAAACGAATGTCACTGTTTCTATCTGTCCCAACATTTGCCCTGCCAAGGAGGGAAGAGCGAGCCAGATTCCCAGAGGTAGGCTGAGTCTGGGTGCTCCGAGGTCTAGGGGTGATGCTGAGGATGGCCTGGGTTTTGCTCTTGAGGGCCTCTGGTCAGGTCTAGGCTGATAGGCATATCTGATGCCATCTTTTCTGTCTTCCTTCCAGACCCCCAAGACAGCCGGGCTACGACCAATGGAGAAGAAGGACATTCCAGTGGTGCACCAGCTGCTCACCAGGTACTTGAAGCAGTTCCACCTCACGCCGGTCATGAGCCAGGAGGAGGTGGAGCACTGGTTCTACCCCCAAGAGAACATCATTGACACTTTTGTGGTAGAGGTGAGTTGTTCCAATCCCAGAGAAACAGCTGGGTTCCCAGAGAGCTGGTATCGCCATGTTAGGCTTCCTGAAGTCTTTGTTTGGTCCTCAACAAATCGGCATCATAGTTTATATTTGTTGAAAGATACCTTTGATCCCCCACCTCTGCTCAATACAGAATAGAGAGCACCACACCTCTTAATCAGGCGAGCCTCTGCATCTCTGCTTGAGCTAGTGTGGTCCAGATACTAAAACCGAAGTCTGAGAATGTGAGCCACATGAAGAAACTCCTGGCCATGCCCAGCAGAGTTTCTTAGCCCACAGTCCAGCCTGGTTGTCCTCAAGAGCCCTTAGCCTCTTGCCGCACATGCAATGTTCACCCCTTTCATCTGCCTGAAAATGGGGTGAGAGAGCCGGGCAGTGGTGGCGCACGCCTTTACTCCCAGCACTAGGGAGGATCTCTGTGAGTTTGAGTCAAGCCTGGTCTATAGAGTGAGTTCCAGGACAGACCCCTAAAGCTACACAGAGAAACCCTGTCTCAAAACAAAACAACAACAAAAAAAGACAGCGAGGAGAAAGAAAGAAAGACAGGAAGGAAGGAAGGAAGGAAGAAAGGAAGGAAGGAAGGAAGGAAGGAAAAGGAAAATGGTGTAAGAGTAAGATGGTCTCTGGGCTGCCTGCTGTCTGCATGTGATATAATGCCTTTTTATTTAATCTTTCCTTCAGAATGCGAACGGTGAGGTGACGGATTTCCTGAGCTTTTACACACTTCCCTCCACCATCATGAACCATCCAACCCACAAGAGTCTAAAAGCTGCCTACTCCTTCTACAACGTCCACACCCAGACCCCTCTTCTAGACCTTATGAGCGACGCCCTTGTTCTAGCCAAAATGGTGAGAAGCAGATCGGACCAGATGGTCTGGGGAAACTCGAGGGAGGCCTTTTAGCAGCAGTGAGCACAGCTCAGGAGTTTGCTACCCATAGGCTGGGAGGCCTTGAGCTTCCTTAGTCCCCAGCAGTTCTCAGCCACACACTCCAGTCTAGAAGAGGGTCGGAGTCACTGAACTCCTTGGTTGGGGAGCCTGACTGGGCAGCCAGCTTCAGGGTTAGGGTTCTTTTGGCTCTGCAGCATGGGAGGGGAGCCTGGGCTCTGCCCTGGTGAATGATTGGAATGGCTGGCTGGAAGGCGGAGGTAGTAGGCCTCTCGTCAGTCAGTCGTCCTGCTCTTCTTCTCAAAGTTCCTGTGCCTTCTTGGACCCAGGCCAGCCTCTGTGGGCAGGCCAGTCCTCCATGAGAACAGATCAAGTTGGTGAGATTTTAGAAGTGTCCTTGTCACAGTGTCAAGCAGCCTATAATGCATGTCATAACAGTGCACACTGGGAACCTGGGAGTTGAGTGGCCATAGAGTTAGGAAGCTGATAGGAACTGACTCTTTGTGGAGGAGCAGGCTCCAGTTTTGATCCTCTCAGAGAGACACTGAAGAAGGCTGGCCTGTGAGGGGCCTGAGAACGGTCTTGGAAGTTAGTTCATCTGGAGACCTCAGTGCTAACGGGAGTTTGCTGACCAGGATGTAGCTGGAGCCTCCGAAGGAAATGCCCTATGGCTGGCTGGCTGTTGGACAACAGGGGGAAGGAGGGGGGAGCAGCCTCCTGGCCTCACCTGTTGTCATTTCTCCTTGCTACCCTGCAGAAAGGGTTTGATGTGTTCAATGCACTGGATCTCATGGAGAACAAGACATTCCTGGAGAAGCTTAAGTTTGGCATAGGGGACGGCAACCTGCAGTATTATCTGTACAATTGGAAGTGCCCTAGCATGGGGGCTGAGAAGGTATGTATATCACAGCCCGCGGCTGAGCAGCCAGTCAGGGAGCCGGCGGCTCCAGCATTGTAAAACAGCGCAGAAATGGTGCATCAGTCTAGGCCTCCAATTGGTGCTTAGGCCTTGAAAAGTCAGATCCATCTGATGACCAGGCCAGCTGGTGAGGGTGAACAGGCAAGGAGCCTCTCTTCCTGTCTGTTGGGGCAGGGCATCCGATGCTGTCATTTTAGTTGTTTACTGGTCCTGGAGTTGAACCTACAGCCTCACGTAAGCTAGGTAACTGTGTGCCTTGAATTTCTTTTTCTTTTTTTCTTTTTTTTTAAATATTTATTTATTTATTTATTATGTATACAATATTCTGTCTGTGTATATGCCTGAAGGCCAGAAGAGGGCACCAGATCCCATTACAGATGGTTGTGAACCACCATGTGGTTGTTGGGAATTGAACTCAGGACCTTTGGAAGAGTAGGCAATGCTCTTAACCTCTGAGCCATCTCTCCAGCCCTTGAATTTCTTTTTCTTTTCTTTATTTGTTTTTTTTCTTTCTTTTTTTTAATTAATTTATTTATTTTACACACCAACCAGTTTCCCCTCCCTCCTCTCCTCCCATTCCCACCTCCCCATCCACTCTTGCTCCGTCTCCATTCAGAAGGGGTGAGGCCTCCCACGGGAGTCAGTAAAGCATGGCATATCACGTTGAGGCAGAACCAAGCTCCTCCTCCTAGCATCAAGACTGGGCAAGGCATCCCGCCATAGGGGATAGGCTCCAAAGAGCCAGCTATGCGTCAGAGACAAGACTTCCTTAAATTTAAAGATGTATGTATGTATGTATGTATTTAATTTGAGACAGGGTCTCACTATGTAGCCTAGAACTTGCCATGTTGACCAAGATGGCCTTGAACTCACTGGTCGAAGAGTCTGCCTGCCTTTGCCTCCCAAATGCTGGGACTGAAGATGTGACACAATACTTTGTTCTTTTTTGGGTACAGGATCTCACTAAGTTGCCCAGGCTGGCCTTAACCTCAGACTTTGAACTTAAGGCTCTCCTGCCTCCTGTTCTCAAGGGGCTGGAGTCACAGACCTGCACCATCAGGCCCACGGTTTTGAGGAACTCATGAGTTGAACTACACGTGGTTAGCCAGTTAGGGTCTGTGTTTCCTGTCTTAGGCTGCCATTCTTGTCTCAGTGTGGCCCTTTCTTGCCCTCTGATCCCCCACCTCCTCAGCACATCCAGTGTTTACAGTGTGCTGCCCGTGAGCTGGGTGCGTAGGTGCAGTGTTCTTCAGGTTGCCACCACTGCCTTCCTTTAATAAGGGTCTGCTAGAAGTGTACACCCAGCGAAGGCTGGGTACGAAGCCTGCGCACAGCGTCTGCTCTCCCACAGCGGACGTTTTCCTCTGAGCTCAGTGGGACTGAATCACAGGACTGGGGAGACAGGAAAGCCCTGGACATTGTCAACTCAACATGACCTTTCCCCATTGGCTCTCCTAGGTTGGGTTGGTGTTACAGTAACCAGTTGCTACAGTAACCAGTGAGATTCTGGATAAAGCCACTGAGAATTCAAACCAGGAAGCGGAACCCCACCACTTGTTGGTCCAACTTTCACAAATGTGAGATTTCTGGCAAACAGAACTGAACCGAACCGGCTTTATCAAACCGCCAGCGAACTTGACAATTATATTGCAATGGCGTAGGCTGCGTGATGTCACCTTTGGCCATGTTTCTGGTCTCCCTGTTTTCAGTGAATAGCATCCTCGTGCAGCCGTGATCAAGGGAATGTAACTGCTGAACCTAGCTCGTGATTGGCATATTATGGAGTTAACGGGTGAATAATAAAAGTATATATATTATATATATATAAATATTTTAAATATCTTTCATGTTCCAAATGTACAAGGATGTTGGTCTCTAATGAAAAAAAGAAGCTGAATCCAGTCATTCTACAAAATAGAGCCCGAGGGCAGTGGCAGACAGACATGTATGGCAGTTATTGTTTCTTCAGAAGCAGGTGGCTGTTCTCGGGGAGCAGGAGAAAGGGGATCTAGGGGGCCTCACCCAGTCCCCCTTTGGAATTGGCTGCCTGGCTGGCTTTGAACAAGAAGGGAAGGTGGAGGGGCTGCTAGCTCAGGAGAGGGCTTGCGTCTCCAGGATGGCAGGACTAGCTCCTGGGGTGGGGCTGACCTGGGAAGAGGCCAGGCTACTGCATCCTGAGACTAGGAAATGGTGACAATCATGGAAACAGATTTCCTTAATCGAGTCCCTCTTCCACCTCCTGGACCTTCTGTAGAAAATGATCCGACCAAGTGATTTTAAAGGCATTTGAGCCGGCTGGTGCCAACTTTCCAGGCACGCGTTCCTTGTGAGACTTTGCCATCACCACCTAGGATGGTTGGCTATTTCAAAGGGACCTTGGACCTCTTTGTAGTATCTGGATCTTGTGGAGACCATGTCAGTGCAAGCTGTCATCTTGGTGCAAAGAGGGAGTATGCCAGGGAGGCTGAGCAGGGGTAGTATGGTGATGCCCAGGCCCTTCAGCCCCAGCCCCTGCCTGTGCCTTTGAACCCATCAGCTGTCTCCTTCTGTGGTCCTTCGTCTCCTTTCCAGGATGTGCAGCCCACAGTGGCAGCAGGAAACAGTCACTAGAGATGACCTAGACTTGGCACATCACCGCTGTCTGACCACCACCAGTGCTGTTGTGTGGGTTTTGTGGTGGCAGTGATGGTCATTATTGCTGCCAGGTCCTCCAGAAGTCATCAAGCCCCTGAGCACATGGCTGCCCGTGTGGGCATTCTACAGTGGGGTTCAGCCAAGTGGCCTAGGAGGACTGGGCTGTACTGTCAGCAAGCCACATCGAGCTCCTTGTAACTTGTGCTCTAGGAGAACGCCCTAAATGATATGTAGTGGGGGTTTCCTTACTCTTTCACCTCTTGGCATCTTGCGGGTGGGGGTGGGGGCTTGTAGGAGAAAGAAGCCTTAGCCACGAGCCAGGTTCAGCCTTGTCCCCTGAACTGAAGCTGATCTGCGGGCGAGCAGGGGTTTGCGTCAGGCTGCGACTTCTACAGAAGCTACCACTGCATCTCCTCAGCTGAGGGAATGTGTGCCTGGGATGCTGCCTGCTTCGTAGACTGCCGCTGTGGGCTGAAACTCTGCTGTGGGGTTCTCCTCGGAGGGTTCTAGGACCCTTCTTCCTGTCACTGTCCTGTACTGGGAACTGCAAGTGCCAGCGAAGGGGGCTGACTTGTGACTCCAAGGTCCTCAGACCAAAGAAACTGCTGCAAAATGTGCACTGAGTTCTACCGATGGGAGGAGTCAGAGAGGCAGGGGCTCCCCTCAGCCTCACAGTCATCAGACGCGGTGTTCTAAGTGCCCATACTCAAAGGAACAAAGCACTCAGTCTTTCCTACTTGGGCGGGCCTGGAATGTGGAAAGGCCTCCTCTCTTCATCTTCATCAGTTGGGAGCCTGCTCTCAGCTCAAATTGCCTCTGAGATTTGGGGTATACAAATCTGGAGTGAGCTTTGGTTTCATTGACCCCGGTCATGGAACAAAACAGTGAGTCCTGGGGGCTGCCCTGGAAGAAACAGATCCGCTGACAACAACTCTGTCCCCAAAACCAGGTGACTTGCTCTGCTTCTGTTGTTGCCTCATGATGGGCGCCCTGCCCAGGTCTGCAGGAGTTGGCTCAGGGTTGTTTTTAAGTCTTGTTTTTATCCAAGCTGTCCTGGTGTCTTCGTTCAACCCTCATGGGAATTGGGGCTAAAGAGCACCGTCATGGGGTTCAAAGCTGCTCCACAGTCTTAGAAGAATGGCAGCCCTGTGACTGGCTTGAACCAAACAAGAAGGGCCCTGGGGCCGCCAAGCTGACCTGTCTCAGTCAGCCACTGTTAGAAGGCCTCTGTGGGCCTGGTCCCAGCCCTCCACCATGCCCTGAAGACCTTCCCTCCCTGCCTTTGGATTGACTGTACCATGAATTCCAGTCTATAGGAAGTGAGCTGGGTAGAAAAGCCTTAACCCTGGATTGAGGCCTACATGGGGCTCACTCCCCACTCGTGCCTGTGTCTGGAGGTACTGGCATCTGAAGGTTGACTCACACCAAGCTCTACTAACACTTTTTTTTTTTAATGGAAAATTTCAGGCCTTGCCCTTCTTTTTGCCATTTGTCCTCCTTACATGCTGGCACTCTGAAGTAAGTGTCTTTGTGGTATTGAATTCTGTCTCCAAAGATGACCAGCATTAAACCAACCTGGGGGCCTGAAGGCCCTGGACAGTTTTCACTGGCCTGTCTACAGCCTAAGAGAGAGAGACTCTCAGGTCAGGAAAGGCAACTGGAGTGTCTCTTGTGGCGTGGTCGGCCTGCCCTGGAACCAGAGGAGACCTGTCTTGTCCTGCTGCAAAGCGCAGGGTCTCCAGACACTCACCTAAGGAGATTTAGGACAGTCTCATTGACTTAAACTGAATGGCAAGCAGGTGCTGCATTTGGGGCCAGGGAGAGGGCTTCACTTTTGTTTTGGCTTTTCTTTGGGCTGTACCGGGGGCATTCATTGCCGGGGTGGGGGTGGGGGTGGGGGGCAGAGCTACCAAACGCGTTGTTCCACACAGTACATCTATCTCACTTGTTTCTAATAAAGGAAGCAGCTCAACGGACTGGTCTCTCCTGGTGTTCCTCTGGTCAGCAGCAGGTGGCAGTGGAGCAGGGCCAGGTTAGGGCGGGGTGACAGGAAAGCCCCACTCCCCAGGACCACCATCACCAGGCCAGCTTTACAAGATCTCTTTCAGGGCACGTATGACGTTCTCCCTAGCCTTCCCATCCCACAGAGGAGCTGGCACTGAGGCATCAGTGAGAACTCTGCCACCAGCGTGCGTGTGAATGTAAGAGGGGGAGAGGGAGATGGTGGAGGCACACCTGCCTCAGGGATCCTTTTCTCCCCTTCCAGGCATTGAACTCGGGTCAGCAATTCTGCACCGAGCACTTACCTGCTGATCCTAACCCTCGATTGACCTTTTGTTTGAGACAGTCTCAGTAGGAATCCAAGGCTGGCCCTTTAATCCTACACCAGCCTCTCAATAGTTGGGATTAAAGGCCTGTCCCACCAGGCCCAGCTAAAGAATGCGGCTGTACTGTGGGTTAGCTCGGGGAGGTCAAGCAAGCCCTTCTGGGACCTCCAGCTCCCCCTAGCGGTACTTTTTTTTACAACGTGACAGGTCCTCCAGCTCCCCCTAGCGGTACTTTTTTTACAACGTGACAGGTTGCCAGGCCCTGTAACCTGTTCTCTTCCTGTGGAAATTACCCATCCTGACCCGTGGTCCTTTCCAATCCCCCACAGCTAGCACATCCCAACTGGACTTGGCTTCAGCTGTGTCCCCGCCAGGGCTTGTGGTCTGCCTGCATTGCCCATCCTCTCTAGGCTGCTCCAGATCCTCATCATTTTTGTAAACATGTAGTGAATCCCTCCGTCAGAGAAGCAAAGCCCTTCCTGGTTTGGGCCTTGAGGTGGCAGAAATGGTGTCCTAGCCTCAAGCTTTGGTTTCTATAGGACTTGGAGCCAATGCAAGGCCAGCCTAGCCCCACCCCCACCTTGCCCATGGCTAATACTGCCGCCCTATGGAATCTCAAATGCCACAGCCTAAGTTCCATTAAGTTCCTTCCTGACAGGTTGGCCCATGAGTCTCTCAGTGACACTTTCCCATTGTCACAGGGGCAGGCAGCACCCTGGTATTCATCTCCTCTGGGGCTGCCTGTCACTGGAATGTGCCCTGCTGAGCTTGCTCCCTCCCCATTTAAGGAGAAGGGACCTTAGGAATTAGTTTTGGCACCAGCTTTAAGCCAAAGGCCATGGCACCTCCTGTAGCCACCCCTGGCTGTCTTGGACAAAACCCAGATCTCACTGGGAGAAGAGGTCCCAGCAGCTCTCGCTCCAGCCTGTCCCTCTGCCCATGGCCTGGGGAGTACAGTGAGAAGGTACACTTTTTCTTTATTGTTTGTTTTTGTTTTTTGGGGGGAGGGGCGTGGGTTTGAGACAGGGCTTGTCTAGTTTTGGAGCTTGTCCTGGAACTCACTGTGTAGACCAGGCTGGCCTCGAACTCACAGAGATCCACCTGCCTCTGCCTCCCAAGTGCTGGGATTAAAGGCGTGAGCTATCACCGCCCGACCCTTTTCTATTATTTTTAAAAACAGTTTCTCTTCTGCCCTCTCCAGGGCTCTTCTGTGACTTAAGTTACAAACATACTGCCAGGTTTTCCCCAGGGTTCATCCGCTCCCTGCCTGCTGACAGGAAGGGAAAGAAGCCAGGAAGCTGAAGGGGAAGCTGAAGGCTCTTGGGTCCCACTCATGTCCTGAAAGGAGGCAACGTGGGTTGCTATGTTCTTTCCAGGGAAGGAGGCTAAGATGGCCTTGCTGGGGACAGAGGGCCAGGTGTCCTGCTCCTCGACTTGGCCGAAACACCTGAAGGTCCCAGGGTTGGAGGCTCCTGAAGTCCATTAGGCCACTGGACAAGATGCCAGTCATGGTCCTGTCTCTCACTGAGGGACTAAACAGCAGCTCTCAGCATCCAGGTATGCTCAGCACCTGGTGACCGGGACAGGTGGCATGTGAGGGCCTAGACTCCAGTGGTCCCTTGCTCCAGAGAGGGCTCTGTGCCATGATGCCAGCATCCACTGATCCCGTCAATGAGGCCCTCGAGAGTTCTGAATGCAGATATGGACAAAGAGCGTGGCTGGGGACAGCGAGGCACCATCCTTGGAGAGCAGGTGGATGTGGCGGTACCCTGTGAGGAAGGCAGCCACGAGTCAGAAGCTGGAGCCCCGCCCTCTCATTCCCTCCTCACACCCACCACCTACCTTGCTTCAGGCTGTTGAGAGGCAGTGTGAACTGGCCCACAAAATCATTGGGGGAAGTGGTGTCATAGTCCTCGACCACAAACCGCACCAGCACCAGCTCTGGGACCCGAAGTTGGAACTGCAGAGTCTGCTCCCAGCAGGGGTTGAAGCCTAGGCGACAGGTGCGGTAGTTAGGGTTCACTGGCCCCAGAGCCTGCCCTGCCCTGCCCTCCCACTAGCCTCTTGCTCACCATTGTTGAGCACGTAGTCAGTCTCCTTGTGGGCACAGTCGGCGGGCACCCCATGGATCTCCACGCGCACCAGAGGATCCACGATGGAGCTGGGCTTCTCCGCATTCAGCTTGGGCAGCTGTTGTGCTGTTAGCACCTATAGGAGGGGGAGATGGCAGGTTCTGCCGGGGCCCCCTGGGGCCATACCCACCCTTGCCCCTCTGGAACTCTTAAGTCCTGTGTCCTCACACATTGTCTCTCCTGTACAAACGCAGACATGTGGGCTGCCTCATGCCAGGCCCATTCCTGACCTCCCTTGTCTTCCCCTCAGACGGGTGCCTCCCCAGAGCTAGCCTTAACCTGAGGTGGAGGCGTGGACCAGGCTGCTGACCTGGACTGTCAGAGTAGTTCTAGGGGGTCCGGGGCACTCAGGGTCAAAGGTGGTGTTGCGCTGCCTCAGGTGTGCAGGCTTCAGGACATAGCCACACTGCCCGTTTATGAGGAAGCGCCCTGTGTTGAGGTCCATCTCGTAGCCTGGAGTCTGGAAGTTCAGAGCCACTGTGGAGTAGACGACATGGTTGAACAGAGGACTCTTGGTGACTCTCCCTCCTCAGGGCAGATTCAGGAACGAGCAGGCTGGACAGAGGGTCCAGTGTCCAACCCTCTAGTTACTAACGTTCTGTCCCTGTTGGAACCTACTGAGGAGAGACCATGTGTTCACCTTCACCAAGGTGGGGTCGAGGTGAGGTGGGCTAGCAAGGACCCCTTGTGTCAGAGCCAAGGTCTGAAAACAGAACACACACTTCCAAAAAGAACATAATCTCCTTGGGCAGGGCTCAGTGTCCCCTGGAGCCCATCTTTATCAGTATTGACTTAGCAGAACTGTCAAGTAAGTGTGTGTGTGTGTGTGTGTGTGTGTGTGTGTGTGTGTGTGTGTTAAGGGCACGTGGAAATAAAGGTTTTAAATTCCTTTCTTGCCAGTTTGGTGTTTTAAAATACAGTCTTACAACCTTATAACCCAGGTTGGCCTAAACTACCTCTGTAACAAAGCTGGCCTTGAATTCATAATTTTCTTGCCTCAGCTTCCTGGGTGCTGGGATTACAGGCATGTGCCACCACGTCCGGCTCATGTCTTTATTTCTACCCTCGTAAAGATGTAAAAAAAAAGGTGGAGAGCAGTACAATAGCCAGTGCTGACCCATAGCCTACATACACACGCATGCATATGTGCACACTTGGGAACATACGAAAATAAGTAATTTTCTCTTATGTATTTTGAAACTCATGTAACCCAGGCTGGCCGCAGACACATTAAGTAGCCACGGGCCAAGGATGACCATGAACTACTGCCCTTCCTCTCCCTACCTCCCAAGTACCAGTACATGTGCCTCACACAAAAGTGTAACTTTTGGCCAGGCGGTATGGTACATGCTTCTAATCTCATCATTCAGGAGGCAGGGGCAAGTGAATCTCTGAAAGCCAGTGTGAGCTCCTGGACAGTCTCACACACACACACACACACACACACACACACACACACACACACACACCAAAAAAAAAAAAAAAGGAAAAAAAAATGTAAGTTGCCAAGCGTGGTGCACACCTTTAACCCTAGCCCTGAGGAGGCCGAGGCAGGCAGATCTGAGGCCCATCAGAGCTGTATAATGAGATCCTGTCTCAACAAACAAACCTACATTTCAGAGCCCTTTAAACACCAATGCATTTACTGCCTTCTAGAAAGCTCTGTAGCTACCCACCGCTGAAGTGCCCATCCCCGCCCAGAATTCCCTGTTTATAGCCCCGCTCACCCAGCTGACAGCCTGAGTTCCACATCTCTTGGGGGTTATAGTTGGCTGAGTTCACCCGCAGCCCCATCGGGTACACTCTGGTCAGTTGCTGAGTGTTGTGCCTGACAAAGCTGTTCCCTAGGGCAGAGTTGGGGCCAGGATTGTGATAGGACCCAGGCTTCTGTCCCTGGCCCCAGTTCCAGGGTCTGTGTACCCCCTCCCACCTTCACCTCAGCTCCTCCCTCTCTTCTCACCTAGGGTGAAAAGGCACAGAAGAGGTTGCTGAGGGCCAGAGAGAGGCAGGGACACCTGGCAGCCGCAGTTTGACACCTGCATCACCAGTGGCCACACTCTTGACTCCCCACACTGAACACCTGGCCCTAGGCTGCCAGCCCATGTCACTCATCCTGCCCACGCCCCCAGCTGTGCCTTGGGTTCCTGGAACTCTTGCCATGGTCGTGATGCCTCTGGGCCTTCGTATAACCTGTTCCTCCTAGTTAGAGACCTTTCCCCCTTCTGCTTCCTCCTTCCTCTGGAGTGACATCTTCTTAGGCTCAGCCCTCCAAGCTTTGCCAGCCCCTGCCACTAGCCTGACTGGTTAGCCAATGCCTTGACCACCACTAGGTGATGAGTGTGGTGAAGGCAGCAGCCTCAAGCCTCTCCCATTTGTGGCTTCTCCACCCACCCTCAGCATGGAGCTAGGCCATCATTCTCCTAGCAGAATACTTCCTGGTCCCCTTGATGTCCTTTGTCCCCTTAAAGCCCCCTCAATCTTCAGAACAACTTCAGGATCCCCATCCGGTCCCCAAGCCCACAGGGTTCCATGCCCTCCTGTCTCCAGATACCCACTCTCTGGTTCCTACCTGTCTCCCGGGTAAACTTCCTGGCCTTGCGCTCGCTGAGGGAGCCAATCTTGCAGGGTTGAGGTGGGCCAGACCTGGGGTCCAGGGTCCGCAGGCGGGCCGCACAGCAATACACAGCCAGTGCTGAGAGCTCCGGGGAGATCTGCTTGGCCTGGGAAACCAGCCACAGTGGAGAGCAGCTGGCTCAAGGCTCCTGCTCCCACCTGCTTTCTAGCCTTCCCCACCCCCAGCCCTGCAATAGGACCCAGACCTCGGCCCAGGTGAAGCACTCACTCGCCTGCTCTGCTCTGCAGCCTCCAAAGCCTCTTCTGACTCCTCTTCCTCCTCATCTTCATCCTCCCTGTCAGACAACACCCGGCCATCTTCGTGCCGAGCTGGCAGCTTCTTCCCTTTCACCAAGACCCGGCCCTTCAGCTGCTGTAAAGGCCAAGGCGGACAAGTGAAGCCACCACCATGAATTTGGCTGGTAGACAAGGGGGCAGGAGAGAAACAGGAGAGTGTTCCTAACAGGAAAAAGTGATCCCACCACAAGGCCACTGATGGAGGGTGGCGAAAGGGTGCCATTTGTCAGAATGCCACATAGCCGCCCTTACACTACTCAAAGGCAGTCTGGTATCTAAAGGGAAGGAACTCTCTAAGCCAGGGTTTCTCTGTGCAACCCTGGCTATCCTGGAACCTGTTGTGTAGCCCAGACTAGACCCAAACTGCAGGGATCTGCTTGTCTCTGCCTCTCTCTCAAGTGCTGGGATTAAAGGCGTGTGCCACCCCCACCCAGTTCAGAAAGACCCTTCGACTGCAGCACATACAATCACATGACTCTTTTGTGTAAGTTTTTTTTTTTGTTTTTGAAGCAGTCATCAACAGCCCAGGCTGGCCTCAAGTGCAATATTAGAAAAATAACTTGAGTTTCTGATCCTCCTGCCCTCGCCTCTGTGCTGGGATTACAGGCGTGTGCCACTGTTCCTCATTTCTTTAGCCCCTATCTCTTGATTCTTCTGTCTCAGTAAAGACATGTGCCCAACAACCTGCTGATGTCAAGTTCATGGCCAGCTTGGGCCAAAGAATAGCCAGTCGTGGCTGGGAATATAGATCAGTTGTTAGAGTTCTGCCTGTCGTGCACAAAGTCCTGGCCTCTACCTCGGCACTATATAAACACTCCTGTAATCCCAGCTCTGAGACAGAAGCAAGAGGATCAGAAGTTAAAGATTAGCCTTGGCTACATAAAGAGCTGGAGGCCAACCTGGGCTACATGAAACCCTGTCACAAACTAATGGCAACAGTAAAACGACCAAACAAATAAATGAGAAAATCTTTGTGAACGTAGGTGTGCATTTATGGAAAAATTCACACAAACACTGGAAGAGCTGGGCGGTGGTGGCGCACGCCTTTAATCCCAGCACTCGGGAGGCAGGGACAGGCAGATCTCTGTGAGTCTGAGGCCAGCCTGGCCTACAGCGCTAGTTCCAGTACAGGCTCCAAAGCTACAGAGAAGCCCTGTCTCGAAAAACAAAACAAACAAACAAAAAACCTGGAAGATGGTTACTTCTAATGAAACAGAGAAGAATAAATGTGAGAAGCAAGCCCCCCCCACCCCCAACTTTCTTTTCAGTACTAGGAACTAACCCAAGGCCTCATGTACACGGATGGGGTAACTGCTGGATTGCTGAGCCTCACAGTCCTAGCCCTGCTTATCTGAAGCGGTGGCATCTGGCAAGAGCAGATGGCTGGGAAGGGAGATCTGGCGGAAGGAATGTCAACTCAGGCCATGGAGGTGGAAGAGGTTGGGCCTACAGGTCCCTGCAAGAAGGGACACAGGCCAGGCGGGCAGAGCAAGACACAGAAGGTCCAGTAAGTGGATGGGCTGGGGCCAGTCAAGGGATGAGGAACTAGACAGCAGCCAAAAGAACAGTTGGGTGGCAGATGTGAGCTTAGCTGAGCAGGAAAAGGTTCTGGCAAAAGAGGTGAGGGGTCCCGAACCAGAGGGGGGACATGAGTGACAGGAGTGGATCACAGTCAGACCGACCCACCTCCCAAGCTGCGGGTCTGGGAGCATCACCTCAGGAGACGGCAGCTCCTCGGGGTTCTGGGAGTCCAAGGCCTGTGTCACCAGCATGTCTCCCAGGATGTTTCGAAGGTGGCGGGCCATGACAGCCTGCTGTTCCAGCCCACAGTGATTCTCAAGGGATAGGATAACAGGATATGGGGACAACTGTTGGGAGGTGGCAGAAGGAGAAGACAGGCAACCAGCTCAGCATTACCCTGCGCCTGTCCCTCTCCTACACACAGTGTGTCTCTTTCAAGACAGGTAGGCAAAGGCAAGGCTGTGGAAAACCCACCCTAAGGGCCCACGTCTGTAAGACATGAGACATTCTGGCACCAAGATATGTGTGGAAATGCTAGAGGTCATGTCTGGGGGTCTCTGGGAAAGGGTGGACTGTTGGGGGACTGAGGGCAGCTTCACCAATGGCTCGTTTATAAATGCTCATTCGGGGCTTCGATTGGCCATGTCGGTGATGTTGCAGGTGCTGTCATTGGTGAGGTTGTGTACCCTGATGGCTGCAAAGAGTATGCAGGTGCCATTGCTGGACTTGAGCTGAGCTCTCAGAAGTCACAACTGAGTTAGCCTCCCCTAAGCCCCAAGATTTTCTTCTGGAAACTTGGTGATGCCGGAACATTTGTTAGCCATGAGGATGGGAGGAGAGAGCAATTCAGCTTTATTTTACTCTCAAGGCCTCTTATTCCTACAGCACTTGGTGAATTAATGATGCTTTGGGAAAGGCATCTGGCTCTGGGAGGGATAAGAGATCACTAGGAAGTGATCCATCTGGGGCTGGGCATGAGGCCCCAGGGGCTTACCGTGAAAGCATGGTCGCGCACGACTTGGATCACATCTCGAAAGAGGATCTTGGTGGTGAGCGTGTGGCCATGATAGATGATGGGTTCCCCTCCTGGGCCCTCCCAGCAGTCAAGTTCCACACAGCGGCATCCCTGGGCAAAGGCCCTACAGTTGACAGATAGATGGACGGGCAAAGTGTGGGTGTGCCACAGGCCTAGCCAGGGAGTGCAGAGTAGAGAGCCCCATGTTCTCACCCTCACCGTTGTACCTAATGTAGGCCTCAGTGCTGCTGGGCCCTTCAATCTGAGAGTCGGTCAGGTAGGTATTGTGAGAGGAGGAGATGAAGTAGTGGGCTAGGGGCTGGCTCATGTCCTGGAACACACGCGTGTGGGCCGTGTTCAGGGCAGTGCCCTCAGGCGACAACAGATACATGATGAAGCCATCCAGCGTCATGAGCTCATGCTGCTTGGCTATGGGGAAGAGAAGGAGAGAGGGTGGGGCTACCGGGGGCGGGGTTACATGTCCAGGTTCTAGTAGCACCCCTGGCTGCTGAACGACTGTATGCACCACCTAATCCTCCACAGAACCCTGAGGGGCAGACATACTACAGTACCATTTTACAGGTAGAGATGTAGAACCTGGAGAGGCGAGGGGACCTGCCGGGGACAGGCAGTGATGGCAGAACTTGCTGGCTAGAAATCCAGAGCTGCTTGGGATCCAGGCTATGCTCACGTACCTGTCTCGTTGAGCTCATAGGTCTGGATAAGCTTCCGGGCACAGGCCAGGGTGGCACTATCCTCGCCCTGGTCTTCCAGGAACTCCAGCAGCTCAGAGGCGCTCAGTACACGGTCCTCGCCCGAGTAGCGGTGGAAGATCTCCTCCAGTTCAGGCCGTTTCAGCAGCCTCCGTAGGAATGCCTCGATCTCGGCCCCCTCCAGACGATCATTGTTGGAATGGTCACACTCCTGGGGAATAGGGAGGTGGGGCTCAGAGGAGGGGACACTCTTGGGAACTTGTCATCATTAGTGACGCACTCCGTGATCATAATGGCTGGAAAAGCAGCAACCACTATTTCCCAAGACTCGGGGTTCACACCTGTCCATTTGCACCATGGCCTACCCCAAGGATCAAGATTAGGATTTGAAACAAAGATGACAGCCTTGGGAGGCAGGACTGGGGGATTGTACTGTCCTCATAAGACACCTACTCAGTGAGTAGAAGTGAACGGAAGGAATTCTCAGAGTAGCCGGCTGGGCCTGTGCAGGGGCATGTGGGCTCCCTTGTCTTTGCAGGGCACAGGCTGGTCACACTCAGCATCCATACACGTCTCTGCCACGTCACCCAATCAATGTGCACCCCAGAGCTCCCACACAGGCACAAGAGGTGTAGGGAAGGAAACTTGTGTACTCTGTGCACTCGAGTGTGTTTGCCTGTGCTCCCATGTGCAAGCACACAGTCACACATACAAGTGGTGCCCTGCAGCTCAGCTGGAGGGCTCTGAAGCTGTCACCCTACCTCTGGCTCTGCCTAGAGGTGTGACACAAAGTTCTGGTTCTCTGGCTCCAGGGAATGGGCAAGGTTTTTTGCCTCCAGAGTACTAGGATTAAAGGTGTGCACCACCATACCTAGCCGGAAAAGCCCAATTAACCAGGTGGGCTAATTGGCTAATTAGCAGGCTCAGGTGGTTGCTTTTGTTTGGTTTTTTTGTTTGTTTGTTTTTTGAGACAGGGTTTCTCAGTAGCTATGGAGCCTGTCCTGGAACTTGCTCTGTAGACCAGGCTGGCCTCGAACTCACAGAGATCCACCTGCTTCTGCCTCCCAAGTGCTGGGATTAAAGGTGTGCGCCACCACTGGCTGGGAGTGTTGCTTTTCTGTATGGAGAGGTGGCTCCCTACAGAAAAGCTGGAAAGGTAGCTGGATCTGATGGTGTTTACCAGAAATCCCAGCTATTCCAGAAACTGAGACCGGAGGATCACAAGTTCAAAGCTAGCCTGGGCTACATAGTGAGATCCTGTCTTTAAAAACCCTGGATAGATAGAGCTAATGTTTCAGATGCTGGGTGGGGAGAGGGGTGCCGGGACAGGCCTGAATTCACCTTGAAGAGTCGGTAGGCATACATGTCATTCATGTCCACGTTGACCATCCTAAGCAGGCTCTTGATCTCCTTGAAGCTCATTTTACTGTCCTGGTCGGAGTCGGCCCGGTGTAGATAGGACCATATCCAGGTGTGTGTGCTCAGGAAATAGCAACGATAAAGTAGGCCCCTTGGCCAGCACTAATAGGTTGTCAGTACCTGACCCGAGGTCCCCAATATTAGAGACTGTACTTCCGTCTTGGCCCTGGGGATGTGTGTGTGGGGGGGGGGGGATGGGATTCCAAGGGCAGAAGGGCCACATCTTCACAGGGCCCAATTCCCCAAATTAGGAGGTCCTTCCTGTTACCTCCCTGGAGTGGGAATAGTGCTTTTCTCCACTAAGGGCTCAGGTCAGCCAGGGTGAGCCTTCAGAGCACCGGGAACTGTCTCAGCCTATGCTCCTTAGGCCAGGAACTCTCCTGGGACAGGTCCTCCCTCCCAGCCCGGCAGGATATTGATCTAGCCGCTCCCGCTGGCTCATGGCATCCAGGCGCTCCCGCAGCTTAGCCAGGCCTCGCACCCAGCGCTGCGCCTCCTCCGCAGTGGGCGCCGCCAGGTCTAGGTTCTTGCGGCGGCCCTTGAAGGCAATGGTGAGGCAGCGCGCAGGTGCGTAGGCGCCACCGAAGCGCCGCAAGCCCTCCGACTGATGGCCTTCCCGGACCGCCTCGATGTGCTGCACGAAGACTATGATCGAGGCAGGGTCAGATAGCGGCCACGGCGCCCGCTGCTGTCCCCACCGCCCTGCCCCACGCCACAGCCGACCCACTCACAGATGTGCTGCGAAGGGGCGTGCGGGATGCGCCGCTGGAACCACACGCTCAGGCCGTCCTCCTGCAACCGGTACAGTCGCTCCTTGTGCCACGTGCGTGAGCGGATTTTGAGGAGCCGGGAACCCCGCAGCATGGCTTGGATATCCTCATCCTCCGTCAGGCCTGCAGGGAAATCGGGGTTGTTGGGTCTGGCCCTGCAAGGCAGCATCCCTGTCCAGCAGTCCCTTGCACTGTCCCCCAGCTGGTGGAGGATGGGGGAAATGGAAGGCCTTTTGCGAGCTTAGCCACAGCCAGGCCTCTGCACCCTCTCATTTTAACAAGCCACATCACCACTGTCACTTGCTTGAAGCTTTGAAGCTTTTGAAGCCCCAAACACCCGTTCCAGGCTGGCCAGTAAGAGGTTCCCGCTACTGTGGTTTCTGCAGTTCCCAAGCACAGTGTCTGGGACTCGGGTCTCACTCCAGATTACCCTCTCTTCCAGCCACCTCCACCAAAAGCTCAAGGGCCGGTGAGATGTCTCAGTGTGTAAAGGTGTTTGCCCTGCAAGCCTGGCATCCCGAGTTCTATTCCTGAGCCCCACCCACAGGGTGGAAGCAGAGGACCGGACCGACTCCAGTCAATTGTTTTCTGAGCCGCCACCCCCCCCCCCCCACTCAGAATTGGCCACCAACAACCTTTTCCTTGATGTGAAACTTCCAGCCATCAGGAAGTCCTCGACCCACTGTTATCTAACCTAAATCTAGCTGAAACCCAAGCTCCTCGCCTCCACCTTCCCAAAGTCACTGGAGGGGGGTGGGGCACTCTGCCTCCAGAGCATCAGGCCAAGGACTCCACAAGTCCCGTGTGGCTGAGCTCCAGTCTCCTGGGCCACTGCACTTCAGGGCCCTTTTGCAGGGTCCATCTTTCTCTTCCCGCTTCCCCAAGCACCCTGGGTAGTGGGAGGAAAGAGGCGACAGAATTTACATCCAAGGCACCTCACCGTGGAACAAAGTTCCTACCTGTCACCTCCCAGTTACTCGCCTGAAACTGCTCTAAGCCTTTGTTCTCCAGGAGAAAAATGGAGACTACATAAATGCCTGCCTGATGCACAATTCTACACTCCCGAGTTACTCTAGCCTGCCCACACCTGCCCTGAAGGGTTCAGCCCAAGCCAGCTCAAAGCCTGGAGCCTGCGTTGAAACATCTCCAAAAGGTCAGACACCAAAGGGTCACCAGCTGGGACAGCAGAAGAGGGAACCAGACTCTTTGGAGAGCCTCGCCCTTCAGCTGGAGGGGACAGCCAGAGTTTCCAGAAGCCAGGAATTTGTGTCTGGATAGGAAGCGACCACATTTTTTAATGTTGGCAACTAACTCAAATTGAAAAAGCAAAAAACCAGAACCACTCTGAGGCAAACAGCAGTAAGTCTCCCTCCTTCTTCCTTTTTTCTGTTTTTTTGTTTGTTTGTTTTTTGTTTTTTGAGACAGGGTTTCTCTGTGTAGCATTGCCTGTCCTGGAACTCTCTCTGTAAACCAGGCTGTCCTTGAACTCACAGAGATCTGCCGGCCTCTGCCTCCTGAGAGCTGGGATTAAAGGTGTGTGCCATCACACAGGGCTCTATATTGTGTGGATGTGGATGTGTGTGTTTGTGCACGTGTGAGGAACAAGCGCTGGGGGAGTCCAGAAGAGGAAACTGGTTTCCCGGGAGCTGGAGGACGGTTGTCAGTCACTATGCGCAGCCACCGGGAACTGAACTGGAGAGAAAAGCAGTCTGTGCTCTTAACCACCGAGCCATCGCTCTGGCTGCAACACCCCCCACCCCAATTCTATTTTCTTTGACACAGGGTCTTCTCTGCAGTCCGGGCTTCCTTGAACTGCATTTGGTAATCCACGATGGCCTCAAATTATATCAGTCCTCCTGCCTCAGCCACAGGAGTGCTGTCATTACAGATGTAAGCTACGGCACCCAAACCTCATCTCTTATTCCAAGGCTCCTACTTGCCCAACTCTGACCTGAGTCTTCCTGCTCCCCCCCCCCCCCGACTTTGTTGTGCTTCTCTTCCTCTTCTAGCTGACAAGCTCAGCTACCACCTCCTCCAGGAAGCCTTCCTGATTTACCCTCACGTTGGCGGGTTTTCCCTCCCCGAACACCAAAAGGCACTTTCTTCTTTTTAAAAAGTTGAGCATGGTGGCTCACACCTGTAATCTCTTAGCATTCAGGAGGCCAGAGCAAGAAGATTGCTCTTAGTTCAAGGCCTGCTTGGGTTCCAGAGCGAGTTCTCGACTGGCCTAAGCTACAGAAGGAGACTCCGTTTTAAGAATAAATGCAAGGAGCTGGAGCGGGGGCACAGCGATGAAGAACACTTCCGGTTTCCCAGACGACCCACTTTGGTTGCCAGCACCCACCTAGGGCAGCTCTGGGCTCATAACGCCAGCTCCAAAGGGTTGAGGCTTTCATGTCGTATACAGACACTCACACAATACACATAATTAATAAATAAAATAAATCTTAAAAACAAGGAGCAGGCATGGTGGTGCATGCCTTTAATCTCAGCACTCAGGAGCCAGAAGCAGGCTAATCTCTGAGTCTGAGGCCCAGTCCAAGTCATCGGTGCCTACATAGTGAGACCCTGCTTTGTTTTGTTTGCTTGTATTTCAAAGGAGAGGAGGAAGAGGAGCCAATAAAGTAAAAAATAATAAGAGTGTGTCCCAAACCTGAAAACCCCAAATCCCCTAAAAATCACACCACTTGGGGTGTCAAGGCAGGAGGAATGTATGTTCCAAACAAACAAACAAAAAGCCAGCAAGGGCCTGGACACGGCTCAGCTGAAAGAGCACTTGCCGCTCGAGCACGAGGAACTGAGTTTGAATTGCCAGAACCCACGTAAAAGCTAGATGTGGCCATGCAGGCCTGTAATCTCAGAAAGAACGCTCTGGCTTGTTGGCCACAAGCCAGGCTCCTGGTTCTGAGAGAGATAACCTGTCTCAGGGAGATAAAGAGTGATACAGGGCACATAATTCTCCTCTGGCCTCTATGTGTGTGCATGCATGTATGAGCACACACACAGGCGCACACCTTTGTACCTCTCCTTGTGTACACACACACACACATACACCACCACACCACACCACACCACACTACCACCAGCACCGACAAAATGCTATACTGAATCTCAGGAGTCTTTAATAGGCCCCAGGGCAGAATGAACTCTTATCTCCCAGAGCCTGGCTCCAACTAATATTTATGGGAAGACTCCCCAGCCAAAGCAGAAAGGCAGGCTAAGTGCTTTGAATTCTACGCAGCCCCGCCCTAGCTTTCCTGACTTCGGAGCCAAAGTCTTGGGGTCCGGGTTCTGAGCCCTAGCTGTGTATTGGATTCTCCTGGGGCCAGAGATGCCCACTCAACAGGCGTGGGTTGGCACTCGGGCATCTATATTTTAAAATTGTACTTTACGTCTTTCTGGCAGAGGGCATGATCACACGTGCAAAAGTGCTTACGTGTGTGCAATTGTGTGTGCATAGGCTAAGCAGCCAGCCCCAAACAGTCCTCCTGGCTCGGCCTCCTTGGTGCTGGGATTATAAGTGTGTGCCACCGTTCCTTCCTTTTTATGTGGGTTTCGGGGATGGAACTCAGCCCTCTGGTTTGCAAGGCAAACACTTTGTTGACTGAGCCCCCGAATTTACCTTCCAGTTTGAAGGTGATCATGACTAAAATCCAGGTTCTCAGGGGCAGGAGGGGTAACCTGTTCTCTTTAGGGTTCCCAGGGATCTCTCAGGCTGTGGAGGACCAAGACCTTCAGTCACAATCCTCCGTGCCTCTGGTCAGGACAGGGGCTGGCGCCCGGCTAGGTCAAGTGATCCCCAGGCTCACCCCCTTCCCCTGCCCCCTATCATATTCACCCAGGAACTCTGAATTATCTGATTGGGAGAGACAACAAGAGGAGGGTGGGGCATGCAGGGGACCAGTGGTGCCACCAGGCCTGGGACCAAAGCTAGCCGGGCTCACCCTTCCTTCACCCCCTCAGCCTGGAAAGGTTCCTCAGCTGAGGTCACCTCCCCTAACTGAGCCAGTCCTCTGATGCCAGGCCTGTGGGGGATGGGGAGGGGGCTGGTGAGTGACTAAGCCCGGAAATGGAGGTGAGTCACAGTGGCTCTGCTTTGTCCCCAGCCTTCTGTAAACAGGCCATTAAAATTGAGACTGGCAGTTTGAAAGCCCAAGGCCCCGACTGGAGCAGGTTTTCACAATGACAGACCCCCTCCCCACTCCCGTCCTTACTCCCGCGATCTGGAGAGTCTGTTGGAAGGGGTAACACGGTAGGCTACCTACTCAAGTGGCTTTGGCCTCTGACCACACTTACCCCTCAACCACACACCGATAGAAAAGCCAACCAGAGCCAGGAGTGGTGGCTCACACCAGAAACCTCAGTTTTTGAGAGGAGTGCCAAGTTTGAGGCCAGCCTAGGCTACAGACTACGGCCTTACCCAAAAAGACCCTCTCCCAACCGAAAGGAAAGAAGGAAGGAAGGAAGGAAGGAAGGAAGGAAGGAAGGAAGAGTCAAACCAAATACAGAGAGGTCCATAACCAAGCTAGGCCAGGGGCTGGTACTCCTAAGCCAGGAGCAGAGAGGGAGAGAAGACCTTAGGGTATCAGCAGGGTCAACAAAGGTAAGGGCAAGGCCAGCAGGAGGCCCAGACCCAGGGCAGTGATTGCTGGCTCTCCACCCAGCCACCAGGAAACATATGTAAGTCCAACCAGGCCCAACCCCACAGAAGTCTCATTCGTGACAAGTTCTGAACAGGTGCACAGGCCTCCCACATCCTATTGTGTCTGTGGGTTTTCTACCTGACCCTGGACTAGGGCCACAGCCACTCTCAACTGTGTGGGAGGGGCAACTATCAGGAAAAAATGAGGGTGGAGAGCCAGAGGTGGAAGCCAAGAGTTCATCAGAGATGAATGGAGAAGCCAAACATGAAACAGATACAAAGGAGAGCCAAGCTTTCAGGGGGCAGGAGCAGGGGATAACCTGGGCTAAATCATAAGACTATCTCTAAAATAATTAAGAGTAATAATAATAGTAATAAAAATAATAACAGCAACAATAAGAGTGACATCTGCTACCCCTGACACATGCCATACCATAAGCTTTGAACAATAAATGAAAGAAGTGGGATCCCTGAGTGACAC